AAAAACGTTTTCACAAAATACAATGTTAAAGCGGCATCGTGAGTCTACGCATGAAAAAATGAGACGCTTCCAATGTGAGCATTGTCCCAAAGCGTACTACAAGAATTTCTCACTACAGGAACATGTACGCAATGTACATATGGGTAATAGACGTATGCTCGTTTGTCCTTTTTGTGGCATGCAGTGTCGAGATGCGCATAAAATGGCGCGACATCGTAAGCTATTACATCTTAATCAAAGTCATTTTCATTGTGATATTTGCCAAGAGGAATTCACGGATATAAGTTATTTCGATGCACATAAACGTTCGATACAGTGTCGCAATAACACGCAAAGAAAATTGGAAGAAGAGCAATTGCTGCAACAACATGAAGAGGAGGAAGAATTATTACTACAACCACCACCCGAAAATGAGGATCAACCTGAAGAAGTGGAAGATCAAAAGCAATATCATTTTGTAACACACCAATCGGATCAAATTCAATTACAACCACATGGAGATGATCTATGTTTTGAAATTACGGTAATGAATAGCGATAATTAGAAAAAACAAACCAGCGATGTATTACATACATATTTAACACAATAAGAACCTTCAACACTTTCCATAACTTGAGTATGCTATAATAAATGTATACGAAAGTAAAATGAGTTTGAAGAAATGATGTGCTGACCTTGTTTCTTTAGTTAATAAAGAATACATAATTTATCCAATAACAATAAAAACTAAACCAACAAAGCAAAGTCTTGACATATGTATGAACCCAAATAGTTTCCGAGGATACTGCAGTCGTAGTTTGTTAATTAGTTACATAAAAGTGGCATCTTTTTCTGCAGTGTTATTTTTCAATAATTTAATATTTATAATTGTGTTCTTTTATTTTTAATTTTAATTTTTTTTTTTATTGACTACATTACCGGTATCTTATTGTATTCACATATAAATAGTAACACTTAAATCACTTAACGCACTAAATAAACTCGACGTATTCACTATCTGTTTCTTCGAAAGTCTCCAACGACGCTATGGCTTCTACGGCGTGCTCATCATTTTGGTGCTTTAAAAATGAATCATTGTCCTTAAAAGCAGTATTACAACACGTATACCTGTATTTTGTATCCTCGTTATCGGATAATTCCTTAGGTAGGTTTGTAACAGTGATGTTACTAGATGCAGCTGCGCCTCGTACAACGGCATGTTTGCTTTTTTCGTGCCATATCAATGTAGGTTTCTGATTGAATCTCATATTGCATATTTTACACGTATACCGCAAAGCATTTTCATGCAATTTCATATGCATTCGCAAAGTTGTAGGTCTTGAAAACTTTGCTTGGCATTGATCACATGTGTAATTACGTTCTTTTGTATGTACTACAATGTGATTTCGCAAGTGGAATGCTTCATAGAATCTTTTTTCACAATGATCACATTTAAATTTTCGTGCACCAACATGTCGTTTTTCGTGGTTTTTTAAAGCACCGCTCGTTGTATAGCCATTGCCACAAAAGGTACATACAAAAGGCCGTTCGCCGGTGTGCCATCTCAAGTGTGTATTTAACTCAGTGAGTGAAAAAAATCTTTTAGGACACTCTGTGCAACCAAAAGGTCTATTATTCGAATGTCGTTGTTCATGCTTGCGTAAAATGCACACTTTCTCAAAAGTTGTGTCACAAAATCTGCATTTAAGCTTACGCTCTTTTTCATCAATGCTCTTCCGGAATTTAACGACCGGGCGGAAATATGAATCGCTTGAAGCGGAATTTGGCTCAATAGTTTCCTACAAGTAGTTTAAATTTTTGTTTTTTATATTCACATGTTTTAGTCAATATTACAAATATGTCTTACAGTTTGTTCTGCATCATTATTGACTTGTTTGTCCACTTTTGTATTGCCTATCAATATTTCCGTAGATACATTTGCATTCCCCACATAGCCAAATTCATTTCCTCCATTAGTAAATGTGTTTTCCAGAGATTGACTATTCTCATTTAGTTCAGCGTTAGTAGTTATCTCTTTGATAACATCGTAATGTTCATGCAGTTGTAGCGTGTCTTCGTTGATGTCATTGCAATCGGTGTCAGCAGCATATTCACTATCCTCCAAAGCTTTTAAAACCTCCATATCGTCAAATTCGAGGGTTTCATTTGTGAAATCCTTATTATCAATATTATCAAAGTGATCATCAAATATGTGATTCAGAAAACTACCATAAGCAGTAAATTGTTTATTACAATACTTGCATTCCAGCATCACACGGTAGCTGTTATTAGTAACATACACTTCACCGCAGTGATATTTCTGTTGTGCCACAGCAGTCATTTCATTTATATGTTGTAGGAAATTCTTATTAATATTTATTAACTTTATGTTTGCAAAGTTTGCAACAATTTTAATGCAAATATCTTGTGTTTAGTATTTTATATGACAAGCATTCTTGTTCTTTTGTCGAAGAGTGTTCACAATGAATGATTCCAATTCAAATAACAACACGAAAATATAGTGCTTTTATGGGAAGGAGTGTCTAGCTCTGCTCTTTTGTCAAAAAAGAGAGCGACAACAGTTCGTACAAGAGAGTATGCGGATGCTGATAATACTTGGTATAATACTAATACTTGGTGAATCGAAGACAGCCAATATATTCGGAGATTGTAGTGTTGCCTTCAACAATAATGTACGCTCAATTTCGTAAAGATATCTTTTTACAGTACAGTAATGAACAGTTTCTTGGAAAAAAAAGTTGCTTTACATTTTGTTGGGTCAATAACCTCTTTATTTAAATTTGATAGGGTCTGTTACCTTTCTGTTTACTTTTAGTGAACTCAAAACCCTTGGTTTGCGTTTGGACTAGTGCACAACCTACGCTTACCTTTGGTATCAAAGACACCTTTGTTTACATTTAGAGGTCAATGAATCATTTGTTTACCTTTTTTCGACCATTGAACCTTTCTTTACATATTATAAGGTCAATGAACTACTCATATACATTTAGTTAATACAACAACCTTTGTTTACATTTGGGGTCATTGACCTTTTTTACATTTTGTGGGGTCAATGAACTTTGTTTACATTTTACGAGGTCAATGACCCTTTTGTTTACTTTTTGCCGAGGTCATTGATCCTTTGTTTACATTTTAAGGGGTAAACTTTTTGTTTACATTTAGCCAAGTTCACAACCTTTGGTTACATTTATCAAGACAACAACCTTTCTTTACATTTGGGGTCATTGACCCTTTTGCTTACGTTTTATAATGTCAGTTTACTTTGTTTATATTTTATGAGGTCAATTACACTTTTTTTTGTTCAGTTTAGTTTTTATGACAGATAAATGTTATAGTCGTCCGATGTCGGCGGTTCCGTGTAGAACTTCTTGAAAAGAGAGCGAAGTGTACAAAATTTCAATTCCAACGTTTACTTCTGAGTGTTACAAACGTTTACAAACTGACTATGTATATATAATTTTAATGTTTGATTTTAAGTGTGTCTAATTTTTAACATTATGTATTATTAAATAGAATAGGAAAGTTATATATATTTCAACCGTTAATATTTAATTCACTAGAGATTTTTCCTTCCGCATCCTCTCGCAATACATTATGCTTATTTTTTATATGCCACAATAGTGTAGGTCGCTGGTTAAAACGCATATGACATATGATGCATTCATATTCTAGCGCATTGTCGTGCAGCTTCATATGCGTCTGTAGAGTTTTCTTCCGTGTAAACTTTGCCTGACACTTCTCACAAGAAAAGTTACGCTCCTGGGTATGCACCACTGCATGTTGCCTTAGCTGGTATGCATTGTTAAACCTTTTTTCACATTGATCACATTTATGGGGGCGCTCGTCTACGTGTTGTTTTTCATGCTTATTTAAAGTACCAGTAGTTATAAAACATTTGCCACAGTAAGTGCATACATATGGCTTTTCTCCGTTGTGTCGTCTAGTATGAATTTTTAATTCTGTACTCGTGTAAAAGGCTTTGTTGCACTTTAGGCAGGTGAAAGGCTTAATATTACTGTGGCGCTGTTCATGACCACGTAAATTATATAATCCAGCAACAGCGAATCCACATATTTTGCACTTATATTTTCTTTCCGCGTCATTCTTTAATTGTTTTGTTGGAAAAACTCGTACTGGTCGAACACTCAGTATTGAATCCTTGGTAAACTGTTCTTTTCCCTGCAAAATGTTTATACATTAATATAGGAATCGATAACTTTGTATGTTATGTCACAATTATATCATCCTCCATATCCGCTATGTCATTTTCCAATGGCTCTAGTATTTCGGTTATTAAATCCTCGTCACTTAAGGTTTTGGATTCAATTGTAATACGTTCGTTCCCTTCTGTTGGAAGCAAAACTTGCTCGCTTAACTTTTCCTTTGGAGTGGTAAATTTCTTTCGTTCATTTTTGGACTTTTCAATTGCCGCCCAATTGTCAAAGTGTTTTTCAAATATATGATCAAGGAAAGTAGAATAAACTCCAAATTCCTCGTTACAGCATTTGCACTCAAGTATCATACAGTATGTGTTCGTAATGAATACCTCACCGCAATAAAATTTTTGCACAGTTGTGGTAGACATTTTACTTGATGTAAAAGTAATCGTATTTAAAAATCTTAGCAAATTATTTCCTTTCGAAGAAAATGTGTTTAGTTGATGATAAAGTTATGAGCAATTTTATATACATAGATTTGTTTTGTTTAGACAAACGTCGATTTTTTTCAAGTGAAACGGTAATCGATATATTGCCCATTTTAAACGCATGAACGATAAATAAACATCGATACTAGTGTCGCCGGTATTAAATTTCACTATTCAATGCAGTCCGTCAACTTTAGTATTTTGAAATCACGATTTAAATGTATTACAAAGTAGGCTCCGAAAAGGAAACCATGGCAACCAATAATTTGTTCGTTGTTGTTAATACAAAATAGCGGTAGTGTCCTTTCTCCAAATAACCAGCATTTATTTCCGCTTCCTTTAATATTTTTTAGTGTTTTATTGGTGAAAAATTATAAAAAAGTGTCTGCTTTTGTTCAAATAAATAAAGAAAAGTTAATGTACCTCATTGTTCGATATATTTGAGCAAAGTCGAATGCAAAAGTTCCCGCCATGATTGGTATATTGCTATTGTGTTGTAAAACCAATGACTTGCACACATAACCTAATAAAACAGTTACAACTCCAGCAACATCCATAACAGTGAGAAAATATAAGAATTAACACCACCCTCAGGTAAAAAAACAATATATTTTTTATATTACCTTTATTAGATTTAGTATTTCTATTATTATTATTGGTATAATGACATACATATGTATATATTGTGTAATTATAGAGCAATAAATTGGGACTTAGATTCAGTTATATTTTGTTAATGCTAATGCCGAAACTAAAATAACTACAAAGTACACATATTCATGTTGCAGGAAAGTTAACCGTTACGGACAAAATATTAAAAATAAAAATACAAATACGGTTCATTTAATAAATGATTTCACTTAACAAAAAACTATTTATTTTTAATTTAAATTTAATTTTATTTTAATTGAGACAATTGCTGCTTCTACATTAAAAAATAAACAATAATGGCAACGCGCTGCATTGGAGTTAAGTTTTGCTTTTGATGTATACAATTTTAACGCATTTAGCCAGAACAAGTAAAAATATGCATGAATTGATTTCAATTTTTGCTAAGGTTTACTTTTTTTGGTATTATGGAGTATTCTGAAAACTTTTCTGCCGATAAAACGAAAACTGCAAATATTGTATTTAAAATTATAATCATATAAAATGTATGGCAGTTTAATTATTTGACTTTGACTTGTAATGTAATTTGGCAATTGATGGCCATAACGTGGAATCACAGTGTGTTTTAATATTTATATGTAATTTATTTAAGTATATGTGTACGTAAGAACATAGTAAAGTTTATTGCAGCTGGTTTCACAATACTGACTGAATATATAGCAGCTCTCGTTTTAAACGGCTAAGTGTTCTCAAATAAATTTCGGATACAATATTTAAAACGAAAATGCAAGTATATATAAATAATAAGGAAGGGTATAATTGTCAATATTGTAAAGTATACATTATACACTGCATTTAGTGCAAAAATGTATAGTTTAAAATTTTAAAGCAGAAGCACTGATTTTAATTTGGTACACGATAAAATTATAGTGACAAAGTAAAAACATTATTTTAACGCATATCTAAAGCACGGCACATACTTAAAACATAGTTAGTTTTACCATATAGCGGAGACAATTTTATTTAAATAATATAAGCTTTAAGCTATTTTTTCTCAATTATTACGATTTACTTACACAATGCTTATTCAATCTTCCATAATTTGATTATACAACTATCCCAATCGTTTTGTGTATCATGTTGTTTGTTTGAATATATGTATGTATAATTATTGTGTACAGGACACATTTTATAAGTGTGTAAACAGTACAAAATCTATTGTTAAAATATTAAAATCTAAAAGCTCTTTTTGTTTGTATTTCCTTAGTTGCTTACGTTCAAGAGTATTGCTACTTGAAAACATTTGTCGTTAATATGTATGTATATAATATGTACTATATTGTGTATTAGTTGAAATCGTCCTTCGAGTTGATTACAAAATGTCACCATACACATCATAAACATCGAGAATGTTTTCAAAATTTTGTTGTTTTCTTTTGTATTTGTAATATTTGTTTTAAATATAAATCGCAAGTATTTTTTCTACTTTAATTATACATACTATTAATGTTTTACACAAGTATTATTATTTTATATAACTTTATATGCACACATGCATATTTATGATTTACTTTCTGACTTCAGTATTATCGCATATTTTATGTCTGCAACAGAATTAGTACATTTCTTAATCGTTGGTTGTGCTTATTCAATAATTAATAGCTAATCACTAGTGGTGTGGTTATTATAAAAGAAACTTTATTTTTATTTGAGTATTTTAAGACTTTAAAAGCTTAAAATACATTTTTCAGTTTTCTGTGTTCCCGCAATATATTTAGTATGGGTACACAAATATATGAATATTTTAGCGCTTTACGCGAAGTCAAAATCATCAAGAAGGAGTTAAACAAACATAACTTTTGCTAGTTCGAAAAAACTGATATACTTTAAGCAATCATACCTGCACGTCTGCATCTAACATTCTTCTTTTTGTGCTTAAGACATCGAGCTACATGGCAGACGTGGTGAACCCATCTGCGTTAGCACACGGTCCAACCATTGTAGTGGTCCATTCAAATGCAATTCAATCCAACACGGTGTCGATGTAACCGTTTGCCGGCGATATTCGGCACCCCAACCTTTTACAAACGACATACGTATGGTGCACATGCGTGTTAATTGATATACCGCCTCAAAACCTTGTGAAACAGATTGCGAAAGCAATGCAGCAAATTCTTGATTATTAAAGATTTTCAGATTACAACCGGGTGGTATTTTGCAGACAGTGGCTGGATGCCAACCATAGCGTTGATTGCAATTCGGACTCTGTACAAATATTGACGAATCACTGAGGCATTCGGCGAATACTTCGCCACCGATATAGTATAGACGTACACCTTTGCCAATGTGACGACGTGTCTGTTCAACTACCTCATTGCGATTTACGTTGGAAAGTAAGCCGAGACAGAAACGCTCCGAATTGGACGGATCAGTGAAACCGTCAACTGTAATGGATGGTTGTGAAGCATGAAAGGTTTCACCGACACGTGTATTTAATTCATAGTATGAAATTGAGCACCAAAAAGCGGGCTCATGATACATTACAGGACTAGCATCAACTGGCGGTGTCAACCTGGACATATTCATATTGTCATTTGGATCGATCGGGTCACCATCTTCGCTCATGTAGCCAGGCGGCGGTGTACCCGTATTAGGAATGCTGCTACCTACGCTTAATACACTTGACTGTGAGTCCATGTTGCAAGCGCCTGATCCCACAAGTGAGCCATTCATCTGCTGCTGTTGTGCGGCACTCATACCTAAACCAACAAGACTCCCAGGCGAATGCTGCTGCTGTTGGTGATGATGGCTTGATAACTCCATGTACTGTGGTGGACTCAGCGAAGCACTGCGTATTGTTGTGGCATTATATTCCGTATTATTGGGTATTTGATGGGTATGATTATCCAAAGGATAATCGGTAATGGAATCTGGCGGTGTCGGCAATGATTTTGGCACCAAAATTGATAACTCAATCTTTTTGTAGTGATATGGATTAATACAAATTTCGTCTTTACGCAAATGAAATGCGTATTCGCAATGATCCAAAGCTTTTAGTTCATTTTGTGATTGTAAATCCGGCCAGCGCCATACACGGCAATATATTACATGTGGTTGACCTTTGCGTAAATTTTCGCCAGAAGCACCTGGCTTGCTACGCGGTACTGTGACGCAGCGTGTATTACAATTCTGCGTGGATATGGCACGTTCTAATTCCTCAAGCTGTATATTCTTTTTAACTTTTTTAACAAGATTTTTTACTGCTTTTTCCGACCACTTTCCCTCAACCGTGTCTTCGTTGCCCTTCTTGAGTGCTAACAAACGTTTAACTACCTGTGGGGTGAATGGCAACATCGCACGTGGCAAAAAAGATTGCGCCGGTCGACAAGTAGTCAACAAATGATCCTATTACAGCTGATCGCAACTTAAACGCAAGCACAATGCTTCAGTTTTTAAGCTTCAAATATTTAATATATGCTTTGGTCAAACTTTAAGAGTGTCTCGAAGATGAAATATAATGCATATATTGCCGTCTGCTGATGAACTTTGCGGCAACTGAAAATTACAAGGACAACAAAAACAGAACTCCTGGAAGGAACAATTCGGAACTATACATATAATATTCCATATATTTATATTAAAGAAATGTTCGATCATAGTAACAGTAATAAACTAAATTTATTTACCTTTGTTCACTAGCTTTACCAATCCTTGATTAATCCCTCCTTTAGCTGATTTTATTGAATTTCTAATTATTACAATTAGATCTCTGTTAAAGTGTTTTCTTAGTCCGACAGTAATTTACAATATTACTTCTAATAATAATGCATTTAAAATAGCATACATTTATTTATTTTTTTCAAAAATTTGCCGATTTGATTTTACGTTGTACTTATGTATGAAATATTTATTTACGAGATTTGCTTACTGGCTGAGTATACTATTTTGCACGATTTCTTTATTTGCTGTCTCCTCTTCGTCTGTCTGCTGACCTTTCACACTTTTTTGTGCTTTCCGTTCTGCAACAGAGTCGTCGCCGTCTGATGGATACTTTTCTTGCCTCTTCCTTTAGTCGGCTAGATATGTTTTTTTTTTGTTTCCTTTAGAGACGTTTAATGCACCGCCTCACACTATCGTTATTGACGTTGTCGTGTCGTTATTGACGTCGTACCCGTTACCTCAATGTCTTATTCATGCATTCACTAAAGTTCTCACTCCAAGTATTTGCTCGGTTTTGGATATCTTTCTTTCCTTTTTGACCGTGTCTGTTTTACACAAGTGCTCTTATGTGTCGTTTTTCAGTTAAGCACTTACTTTTCACTGTACTCTTCCTCCGTGCACTTCCTTCCACTTCACTTAATCTATCGTTTTTGCCTTTGACCAGACGACCCAGACAACTAATGGTAGCAATTTGCTGACGGCTTTCACAATCCTTTTATATTATCTTAAAACAAAATTCAATGTGTACAATTCACTTAGGACATAAATTTTAACTTTTCACTGCAATATTTTGCGAATATAAAACCCCAAAAAATTGTAAAATTATCGTAAATGAAAATGAAAATAAACTCGCCTCCGCACAAAGCAAAATTTACAATCGTCTCATTCATTTCATCGTCATTTGCCAAAAGTGTTACCAGAAAGAAGTTTTGCATCTTTTTGACATATACTTCCTATCGTATAAAAAAATGATAATTTAAACAAAATACAATAGAATGGCGTCAGCTAAATTAAACTTAGGTAAATAATATTTTTTTAATACGATTTTATGTTACTAAATCAACAGGAACAGTTATATATATATTTTTTAATCATCGTGCCCATTTGAAATGCGGATATAAGTTTTTGTGGCATTAACAACACTGTGCAAATTTTTCCCCAATCAGCTGGTATATTGTTCAAATATAGCTAATTTGATTACAGATTTGTAGAATGCACTGCTCTAGACAGCTAGAATTATTGTATAAAATTACTATAAGTAGAGTAATCCGCTTAATTGTAGGTCATTGTTATCTGTATCCCCACTGGAAAATTCTTACACTTATTTGTATTGGTCATTTCATCTGCAATTGTGACAAAGAATTACAATACCAAGATATTTTAATTTGTTTACTTTTTATTTTATTTAATAATGGTTATCAATGAAGTAGTATTTACAGTTTGCTTCGCTTTTGCAGCACACGCTCATTTTAAGCGATTTTTGTCATATTAAAAATACGATTATATAAGAATTAATAATTTCTATTACTATTCTATTATTTCTAAGTTTTCAATGAATCTCAATTTTGTGTTACAAGGAAGTTAAATCAAAAACCAGTTTATACTTAGAGCTTTATGTAAATTAAAACATCATCGGGGTTAACTTGGTTGAAAAAGCTAACACTTCATATTTGTCTGTTCTTTATTTCGACTGTGACAATGCCTTTCCACAAGTTACGAATGTTACTTTTGTTTTAAGGCGGTAAGGCTTAGTAAATTAAATGTGTAATAATTGGTTGAAGAATCTCGCTTTTATAAAATTAATTGAACTAATAATCAGAAATTTCTTGAAAGATAAATAGTTAATTATAGAACTTTTGAAATTGAAATTTTGAAAAATTTAATATACAATAAATTAAATTTTTGTATGTTTTAACATATTTTTTATAATATGTTGTAACATATTTCATTTGATTATTTTCAAATTCACCTTGTCTTTTGTATTATATTTTTCTAAACTCATTAGTAGTTGAAAACTGAATCATAAAAAACTATTAATATTTTTCGCTTAAATTCACTATAAACTTACAATAAAGTTATATCTAATAATTTCAAAACTGAACGTAACTTTATGAAATTTAAATTTAAAAATAATAACAAACACTGAAGTGCTTACTACTCGCAGCAGTATTCACTAAGGCATGAACAAGAGATATACTTAAAATTATTATTTTTTAACTCAAAGTATTGTTCAAATTGTTAACAAATTAAATGAATTACAATTTTTACACACTTCTGGTGCTAACACAATACACAATGATTGAGTACATAATGGAGTTTTACAATAACATTTGGGCAGTCACTGATTTATTTATTTAGTAAAAAATTCCCTAAATCTGCAATATTTCGGGCAACGCTATTTTATGAAATTGTAAATAACTTTAAGGCCTTGTCAAGGCTTCATAGTACATATATATGCGCGTATATATATGCATACGAGTATAAATGTGCTCATTAAAGTTTCAACAATCATCAGTTCTGTTACACTTCTATTTTCATAATGGTTATGTGATGGCTTATATGGAAGAATACTGTTTGTTATAACTAAAACATAGGAGCCTACAATGTGTGCGCATTTTTAGAAATCTGTGCGAAAAATGAGTAGTACGTATAAGCATGCAAGGAACATTAAAAAATTAATCAGTTACAGATTTTTCTATTTTCTTTGGATAAAGAAGCGTTTACACAAAATGGTATATATGATAGCATGTATGTATGCATTTAGTAAGCTTAAATATTTGAGTATTTTTTGCCCCCCCCCCCAATACGTATGTATGTATATGAAGCCTAAATTTGGTACTAAAATTTTTAGCTGATTTCCATAACATGTTAATGGTTTTCAGTTCCTATTGGTTTACTGTTAACGTTATTAACCACTTCAATTAAACAACTTTAAGGGTTTCATATAATTTAAATTAAATACAAAATAATTGCAGTACAAACGGTTCGAAGTTAGACTAGATTTGTTTAGGAAAGACGGTAGTTTGTAATATTCGTACAGGCATTGTTGAAGCATGCCTTAAAGTCTGTGGTCACCTGATAATGGTCGATAAATTAGGAGAACAAAATTATGTGCTTAAAATTATTAATTAATTTCTTAGCAATACAATTAACTTTTTTAACGCTTTTGCGCCGTACTTTACTTTTTAAAACTATTTTTTTATAAGTCTGTGCATATTTATGTCTAAAATACCGCTGTACTTTTTTATAACTGTCGTATCGTACAGTTTACTTAAATATTTAAATAAGAATTGGATATCAATGCTTTAACACGTACGTTTTTACTAGCAATGCTTATGCCGCATGTGATAGTTTAGCCCACTGGGGTGCGAATAGCTGCGAGAACAAATTTTGCACACATAACGCTTTAGGCCGACGCCACTAGTACCGCCAACGCCACCACCAACACCATAAGTGCCGAGTGTCTGTCCACCGCCACCACTACCAGCGCCATTCTCATAGCCATTTTCTTCCTCGACATCATCTTCATCATCGTCCTCGTCTTGCTCAGCAGCTCTACTTGAGACATTCTCATTATCGTCATCATCCTCATCCATTGGTGTGCCTTGTGGCACATTATCATCATCATCGTCGTCGTCATCATCCATTTCGCCATCTTCATCTTCACCCTCACCTTCGGAATCTGTTACCATCTGTGCAAATTCATTACCCTGCTGTTGTCCAGGGATTACTGTTTCGAATATTTCCAATGGGTTAACGTTGTTACTTGTAGCTGCACGTCCTACTTTCGCGCTTGCGGTATTTGCAGCATCCTGTTGTGCTTCAGGCAAATTAACGCAGCCCGGACAAGCGTAGGGTTTTCGCAAGTATATAGCGCTAGTGAATATCTCTTTGCAATAATCACAACGATATTTACGATGCATCTTCAAATGATTCGATAAATGATGTCGCAACCGGAAGAGTTTGTTACAATAGTCGCAACGGAAGGGTCGTTCCTCTTTATGATTGGCCATATGAAGATCACGCTCCTTACTACTGCTCAACACTTGGCCGCAAACCATACATGGAAACGCAGTGGCGCTTTCGTGTGTCATAATATGTGCAATGAAATGATTCTCGGTACCGTACGAAGCGCTACAAACGGTACATTTGAATTGCTTCTCCTTTTGATGTGTATTCATATGATAGCGTATGGCTTGTTTTGATTTAAAACCTTTCTTGCAAATGGGACACTTAAACGGGGTCTCATTCGAATGTTTTATCATATGATTTCGATATAATGAGTAATATTGGAAGGTCTTATTGCACAATGCACAATAGGCAGTGCCGCGTATTTGTCGACGCTTAGCCTTCATTTCACCACCACCACTAATATCAGTACCGCCCCCCAGTATGCTGGCATCCAATGAGTCGGTTGGTGCAATAAATAGCTGATTATCATAATCTTCTTCGTCATCATTCTCAAAGGCGCCGGTTGTGTCAAAGTCGTCCTTGCCCGCAGTAAAATCAGGTGTAGTATCGTAGGCACTAGAATTACCATTCGCAGTGTTTTTCAATTTGACATCGGGCGTTGAAGATTTCAAAGTATATTTATTTGCATATGATTGGAAACTGGCTGGATCGGCACGCCACTGTGCTGCCGATTCTTTAGCTTTACTAAATGCAGTTTCATTTTCGCATTCGTTTGCATCATGTTCTGCATCATTGTATTTACTCTTTTTATTTGGATCTGTTTGTTTACTGTGCTCAGCTTGCTTATGGCCTGATCCAGCAGATACAGCTTGACGTTGGGGTGAATTGTGAATACCTGTATGTCTGTAAGCTGTCGAATGATCTTGTCCATTTAAACTGTAGTCCTCGGACTCAGTGTGCACATTTACGTCCAAGTAGTTTCCGCAATCAAAATACTAATTTAGAATAGTGGAGTATGATTATTATTAAGGAATATAGTAATATAAATCCTACAACCACACATTTGAACATACACACATATTTCCATACATATTTCCAATATATATGTATTAAATTATAACAAGGATTAACTAAAACACATTCCATACACAGGTATTTAAAAAAAAATGGCAGTGGCAATTATTGAGGAGAAGAGGATTGATATTTCAAAAAGTACTCGTATACAGAAAGTTTGGCATCACATTTTCAATAATTATTTAAATTAATAACTGCCGCCCTATTAAAAAAAAGTTATGCAATATGGCGTCTGAAATGCATCTGCATTGTTAAAAATTAAAGCTGACAAAACCAAAAACATACTTAAAGAAGTCGAAACCGGTTCATTTCAACCCTTTACGGCTGTAACTACGCATCCACGATCTATTACCGATTTTTATATGTACACTTTTTAAAAGTCACAGCTATAACGTATTATATATGCTACACATATATGTGTGGTGACGGACACGGGTATCAGAATGCATAAAAGGATGAAAAGTATACATGCATGTAGAAATACATAACGAATAAGGCCAGCTGTAAGTGGTCTGTTCTATTTTAAAGAAAAAAAATCGATACGTATAAACGCGTTTGTAATAAAGAATCGTTGAGCAGCAATATTATAAATGGAAATTGTGTACCTATGCAATATGCCATCGGAAACAGCTTAAATACTTTTAATAATATGTCAGGGAGTTTTTGGTATACATAAACTGTACGATTTTTTTAAAATAATTAAAAAATACATAGTATGTATTTCTACAAATCTGCCAGACTAACAAATAATCCCCATTAAATATATATTGGATATAAATTGTTTGCTTACATCTTGATCCTGTTCATATAAATTAGACTGCTGATTTCCTTCGAATTCACCATCATCTGTTTCATCGCCATCGTCGACATAGCCACCCAAATGTTTAATTTTTATATGGCATATAAATTCGCCAATGTCACGTGTACTTTTGTTACAATAGGTGCAAATAAATGTCCACTGCCGTGCATTATTGGATACAAAGACTTCACCGCACCGCGATTTGGGTAGTGCTACTTTTCTGTTGCAAATTATCTCATTGTCAGTTGCACTGTTTTTAGTTGAAACATTGGGTTGCGCTTGGTTTTGTTGTAGCTGGCGCATAGATATGTTTGTGTCCCGTCCCACTTCTAAGTGTTTTTTACCTGCCTCTATTAAATTACTCACATCCGTCGACGACGCAACTTTTCCATGGCTGTGATCACCAACACCATCCTCAACTGCTACATTACTTTCAATGCCAATCTCCTCCTGCTGCTCTTCATCCAGCTTCTCTGTTTTGATTGCAACTTTCGACATATTTGACACCAAAGCAGACAATAGAATTTACACTATATTATTTTATTTACTACTTTTACATTGTTTCGGGTAAAATGAACACTTTTTGCAAACCCTTTCGCAGACGGCAATGTATAAAACTTTTCACTAGAATTCGTAAATTGTTTTTATTATTTTGTCAAATGCGTGTGAAAAGCGTGTGAAAAAGGGAGAAAGAGAGCGCGTGTTGAACTGGGTGGAAAGAGTAAGAGAACGGGTGCGCGCTTGAAGAAAATTGACATATAGTGTTGCCGGTGTAACTAATTACATTTTTAACATAAAAAAATTATTGCTGATGTAAATTTCAAGTTTTTATTCAACACTTACTAAAATCACATAAAACAATAATAGCTATAAAACATTGAATTTCATAATTAGAATATGCATTAAATTTCCACTATTACTTGTGAATTTCAAAATTTGTAAAGTTCCCTGCTAATATCATTATATACAAAAATTCAAAATGTCAGTTAACATTAGTTGTGGCATACCTCCATCATGTTAACAGAGTCATGTTTGCTCTCTGTTAAATGAAGTATTATAATAGTGATATTAAAATTTAGCTCAGTAGAGATTGGTATTGAACGGTATTTAAATCATTAAATCTAAATTACAATTTTATTCCCTGAAACTAGTTACTTTTATTACAGCTCACACTAACATTTAAAATGAATATATCTGCACGTCTAGGGAAAATAGTTCAATAATAATATAAGCTTTAACAAAAAGGCAGGCCAACTAAGTCAAAAAGCTTCTTTAAGAATCCCAACGTCTCTCTCTTCGAATGAATTAAAATATTCGAATGTATTCATAATTCTAATTTACTTTTTTGTACAATATTTTAATGTCACAAACGTCAATTCTTATAATGCGTACAAGTTTCAAAATATTGAGTAGACTACAAAGCCGCCTTCGTCAGTATTGCCGATGATATTTATTTAATGTGGCCAATACAATATCATCTGGCGATTTAGTATCGAAATGAAAACGATGTATTTTATGTTTTACTTTAAAAACGTGACTTATTTCCGGAAATCGATGTGTTCGTTTATATTTTAGACAAATAATGCGTCCACACGATGATGGAGTAGCCAATTTTTTGTGAGCTGTAGAGATGTCTCTGCTTGGCTGAAAGTAGTTGTTAATGACAGGCAATAGAATAGGCTTCTCTTTACGATCACACTCTATAAATGGTATATGAAAGTCTTCGGCGGGTGGAGATACCGTTTTTTTATTCTGCACAATAATTCCTGTAACAGTGCTTAATGCGGCAGTTAGATCTATGGCATGGTTTGATTGTTCTACTTTTTTCTCGGTTCTCGAGTCATTCACTTGAAGGTTGTGGACGCCATTACTAATTTCTCCAATGCCATCAATAATTTTCTTATCGTTTTTTGGCGTCTGTGAAATTATCAAAGATGATAATTTGACATTACACACTGTGGTATTAGTTGTTTGTGATAATTTCAATGGTGGAATAACGAAGTTACCAGCTTTCGAATTACCCATTTGTAATTTAGGTAACACGAATCCATTAGGCGATGCGACTTCACCACCCTGCTTCTCTTTCAATTGTCCCAAGATGAATTGGTTTAGCAGTGATGTCTCAGCCGCATCCTTTCCAGAATCAGGTATCTTGTTTTCTTGCCCAAAACCAGTATCCATTTAAAAATATACGTGTAAATTATACTTTTGGAATAAAAACATAAATATATGTACAATTTGTTGACAATTTTGCAAATGCAATATGGAAGGCAACAAAAATAATGGCAGCTGATGTTTATGACTATGGCGACATCTACAGACTATTTAAACTCTGCAACTTTGTCGGAGTTTACACACATAAATGTTGTTAATTTCTCATAATTTTAGTCAAAAATTTTCTCATTTTTTAAATAAATTAATTTTCAATTAAATATTTGATTTCATATTTTTAATGATATTAAAAGAGAAAAAAATATATATTCTCAGTTATGTAACATAAATGAAAGGAATAAAAATAACTGTTTTTATTTTTTTTATTAAATTATATAATTATACATTCAAACATTTTCATGTTTTTTTCACACCACTCAAAAAAGCTTTATTTATTTATCCAAACGACAAATTGGACCCTCTTCTACCATTTTCAAGTCAACTTTAGGTCCGATCAAGTCTCGAATATTATTGATGCCATATTTTATCATTGTTGGCCGTTCCAATGAGAGACCCCAAGCAATTACGTTAACATTTTCGGGTAAACCCATAGGTAACAAAAGTTCTGGTCTAAAAACTCCTGAATTTCCAACCTCAATCCATTTATTAAGGCCTGGATGAAAACAGAAGATTTCCATGCTGGGTTCGGTATAGGGGTTATAAGCAGGTTTGAACTCCAGCTTGTCAATTCCCAGCTTACGGAAGAACTCATATAATGTGCCAATTAAGTCTCCCAGTGTTAGGCCAATATCTGCAACTACACCCTCTACTTGATGGAACTCTGCAAGATGTGTTGCATCCAATGTTTCATTTCGGAACACTTTATCAATACTAAAATATTTTACTGGTCGAAAACCCTCCGCTTGATTTGCCAATTTATATAACATACGTGCACTTACTGCGGTAGTGTGTGTGCGCAGCGTATTCCTTTGAGCTTCTTCCAATTTCCAGTCATACACATAACCAGTTGAACCATAACCACCGCGTGAATGTACTTCCTGTACACGTTGCATATATTCTTGAGGAAACTTATAACTTTTTGCTGGATTGCTTATAAAGAATGTGTCTTGGGCGTCTCGCGCCGGATGCTGTTGTGGCACAAAGAGCGCATCAAAATTCCAGAATGACGACTCAATGTAGTTGTTAGTGGGCATTTCTGAGAAGCCCATTTCCAAAAATATCTGACGGAATTCAGTACGCACTTTTTGTAGAGGATGCAGGTGACCTCTCATAGGAGCAGCACCCAAGGCATCGAAATTATACGATTTAAAATTAAGGTCTTTCCACAAACCACTAGCTAGCATGTCCACTGTTAAATCTGTCTCCAACTTCGTTAACGTCGTTGCAAATTCCGGTCCTTTACTTAAAATAAAGCTTTTCGTTGTAATCTCTTGCAACAACTTTCGCTTTTTAAATTCCTTAATAACATGTGGTGGAAGATCAGTTTTGTTTTTCGATATCTCTTCTAAGGATTTCTTTACTGTATCTTCGATTTTGTCCACTTTCCTTTTGACGAGTGGTGGACTTACAGATTTGTCTAAAAATATCCAACCGAGAGACATTGCTTTACTGTAGCCAATCTTAGCATTTGGACCGCTCTTCATTAGTTCGTCCTGAGGAACTCCTTCCAATGGAACAGTACCATATAAATTTGCTTCATGGCTACCACTCGTCATTACAGCCTGTCCCTCCTCCGTCAACTCCAAGCTCTTCACTAAGATTACTTCTGTTTTTAACAAATCTCCATGAGCTTCGATACTTTTCAATGCACCCACAATTTTCTGATGATCTACATCAAACAATGTTGCCAATTCAATGGTGCTAACTTTGTCAGTGCCTTCTAAATGCTGCAAAATACGCTCAGTAAGATCTGGATGCATTTTTATGTAATTTAAACAATTGCAACTAAATAATTATAACGTGTTATTTGCCGATGCCAACAAATTAAAAAGGTTTTTTTGCTATTAGTGAGCCGATATGACAATTTTGACGTACGGTAAGAGTTGCCACTTAAATATTGAAAGTACGAGCAATTTATACATCCAAATCAAATATTGAACTAATACCGTTATTGTATTCTCCTTTTCAGGATTAATCGGATTTTATATCATCGGGACACTTTTATTTATATTTAATATTTATTTAAGGTTTTTTTTTAATCATTATTCTACCAACAAATACAAAATATTTCTACAAATTAATTTGTAAATATTACCCCTTTCATGAGTTTTCTTCATTTACAATGCTATTTACAGCCGAAATCGTTTCCTCACGTGCTATTGGTGGCCCAGAATCCATCGAGCTATTAAAATTTTCCGGAAAAAATGAAGTATATGTCGCATTTTGTATAAGTTCGACTATAACTCGTTTTGCCTCTTCCTCTTTTTGTATGATTTCTTCAGAGTTTTCTGTTACTTCTGCTTCTTCTTTCAATTCCACTAATCCTGTTTTGATCTCCTCTTGATCAGTTGGTATTTGAACTTCGTTTTCTTGCTTTTGTTTCGTAGGAGATTTCTGTAGTTTATGCATTACTTTGTAATGGTGACTCAAACCTGAACTGAAATTGAAAACTTTGCCACATGCCTTGCAACTTAGTATCCTTTTCGGTCTCGGCGCATGAATTTTCATATGCTGTGTTATACGCAATGTCATCTTTCCGCAAACCACGCAACATTGAGGAATTTGCTCCTTGTGTCTACGCAGATGCTGCTTAAGTATGCATTCTGTACTGTATTTTCGTCCACATATGTGACATCGATATGGTTGACCGGATACATGCGCTTTAACATGCTCCTCAAACCGATCGCGGGTGTCGAAGTTCTTTCGACAAATTTCACAATTAAATGGTCTCGAAAGATGCACTTTTCTCATGTGGGTCTCCAAAAGGGTGAGACTTGTAAGTTTTTTATTGCATATTTTGCATATAAATCCATCAGGATAATGAACTTGTTGAATATGATCTTTTAAATCCGGAATTTTATTAAACAACTGATCGCAGTCGGAGCATTTGTGAGCCAATTTTACATTACTGTCCGATTCAAGATAGTGTGTCCGCTTATGAATTGTTAGGCTAAAGGCACTCCTGAATTTCCTTCCACAAGCAGGACAAGTTGTCTTATCATCGGTGCTGTCCTGTCTGTTTATGCTATTTATCATTGGCACTACATTGTCGCTGAATTTGGATAGTTCAACTTTCGATTCAGTTTGTGGCAGCAGAGTAATAACAGTTTCGCCAATTATATGGCGGACTGGTTCTGTACTTTCCTCAACGGACGTTTCATTTTCTTCGGCAACTTTTTTTTCTTCGTCCATAGCTACATCGCAAGATTCAGGATTTGTGGTAGTAATTCGAGACCGGCGCTCTTCTTCAAGCTTAATACGTTCATAAAGCTCTGCTACTCTATTTTTCAAAGCAATCACCTTTACTGTAGTTACCCGTTTTTTCTTTTTAGAATTTTTAAATTGCATTATTTTATCGTGTCCTTTTGAAGTTTTTCTAAAGTCGTTGATGGACTTCTGTTCTTCTTTTTGATTTTCCCTTTTCAAATGATTTTCATTGGTTTGTACGTAACCAAAGAAGTCTTCTGGGCAACTATTTTCATCATTTGCATACATTTGGACGCCCTCTAATTCTTGACGCATTTCAGCCTCCACTTCTGCAGCAATTTCCTCCGCTTCATCCAATTCCTCTACAACCATTTTCGATTCATCAAAACCGGCTAAATCGCATGGTAGTAGAGATTGATTTGACCCAGCCCCATAAACTACCGCCTCGCGTGTTGCTGTTGTGTCGTCATCCATAGAATCTTCAGGCATAATGCCATCATTGAATTCTTGGGGCAAGATTTCTTTTTCATCATCGTTTATATGTTCACTTAAATGCTGACAAAAGTAATTTATATTTTCGCTAACTTTTTCACAATAAGTGCAACAAAACTTCAGAACTCTTGTTGCCTCACTGAAAAATATAAGTCCACACTGAATATCGTCCTCGATTAGATTTGTGGTTGGATCACTATCAATAGAGTCTTCAAGAACAGAAAAGTCATTTATGTTCTGACTATCAGACGAATTCATTCTTGAATAAATAGTTACCAATAATGCATACTTTTAGAAAATTGCAATCAGTTCTTTAAATGATAACAATAATAAAAATCAACATTTTCACATTTCTCTTCTTCTTTATTTAAGCTACGTGTTGCAATTGAAAAATAATAAGATCATTCACAATTGAAACTTGTTATTTTAATAGGCCAATATTTAATTATATGAAAACCTACCAAATTTCATAAAAATTTTAATTATTAATGGAACATTAACTTTTCCAAATCATAGGTAAATCAATCGAAAGATATTTGATGAGTGATGATATTTCAACGACAAAAATTCAAAGTAGTTAAAAGAACGATATTATTTACTAAATGTATCAATTTGATAAGAATTATGTTTAAGAGTTGGTTTGTGTATAGTTTTGTGAACCTCTAATTGAGCTTCATCAATGAATTTTTTGTCACATTGCTCACAAAATATTTTTGCAGTTTTATAGTGTTTTTTCAACTTATGTGTACTTAACATAGAAGCACTGCGATAACGATTTGTGCACAAATTACATTGAAATGGTAAGGATGCATCATCCGTCATATGATGAAGTTTTCGTTTATGTGTATCCATTTGATTAACCGTGTAGAATAGCTTTTCACACTTGTCGCATGGTACGCGTCGCTCTTGTGTGTGCCTCAATTCGTGGCTTAACATTGCTGCGCGCCGAGAAAAAGATTTCGAACAAAATTTACAGCAGAAATCGGAACGATTTTGGTGGGTATTGCGATGGCGAGCTAATGTTGTCACTGCACGAAATTGACGTCCGCAAATCTCACATTGGTGTGGTTTGGAACCGGTGTGTATATTTAAATGCGTATCCAGCTGCAAACGGCGTCGAAATGTTTTACCACAATATGTGCACATATTTGGCGTATTACGTGCTTTGTAAGGACGTTTGTCACTATTTTTTAACAAATTTGGTTCGTAGGATTTCGTCCAATCAATACATTCTTTTGCCTTACTTTCTGTGTGGTTTGAATCTGTTTGATCACTTTCGCTTTCACTGGTGTTTTCATGGCCTGAAGTCCTTTTATAAGTTGAACAATCTACCAAATTTGTTTTAGTAGATTTCGTGTACACCTATATTTTAAAAAGTATAATAATTAACTTCAAGTATTTCTAATCTGAGCAAATATTTGTTAAACTTACGCCAGTAACTTCCTCTTTTATTTTGTTTTTCACAATATTCTTATCATATTGTAGTCCCACAAATACTGGTTTGTGCCGAAACAACTGATTAACACTAAGACTTTCATCGTTTTTATTTTCTATTTTATTTATTGTTCCTTGATTAGATGTCCCAAGAATGTTTAATCCCACATCCGAATCATTTGTGATATCTGCGGCTTCTAATTTCAATGGATCGTGCTTGCAATTGGAATTTGTCGTACTGTTGTTTTCAATATTAATAATCAATACTTCTGTGTCAGACAATTCGTCCGTGAATTCTTCACAATGTTTTTTAAAATGTTCACAGAATTCAGAAAACGCAAGCGTTTTCAAACCACAGAAAATGCATAAAATCGAAAATGTTGAAGATTGATAATGAATTTCGGCACATTTGGACTTTGAGTGATTATAACCGAAATTATTTGCAGCATTAACGATTTTAAGCATGTTTGCGTGCAATCTCCACTATTAAATAACTAATTTTAGATTTGTTTACAAACGGCAAGACCAGTGGTGAACAGCTGTTTTTCTCTGTTGACATAAAACAAATATCTAATTAATATCGCCTTTGCAGAAATCTATACTAAAATTGTAATAGTATGTGTATCTGGACATTAAAAACAATTTATGTAGTCAATTAAGGATACGATTTTAAATGTATTTTTCAAATTGTTTTATAAAAGAATGAACTTCAGAACGACTGCGTCCAACTATTATAAAACTAACCAAATTTTACTCAAAACGATTTACATAAGAAAATTGTATTTTTTATTAAAAACATTTAATGTCAAAATTTAATTTAAAAATTCAAATAAATTTTAATAAAACTTAATATTGTGAATAGCACAACAAATTAAATTTATTGCAATTCAATTACAACTTGATATTTAACAGTTATCCGCTTTATGTTGGCGCATATGACCAGCAAGCCCAGCCATTTGTGCAAATGCACGGCCACAGAGTTTACACACAAATTTCTTTATGCCCAAATGAAGATGTTTATGATGATACAGTGCTTTTGGTCGCGCAAACGTTCGTCCACAGACATCGCACACATGTGGTCGCTCATTTGAATGCGATGGTTCATGCTCACATAACAACGATTTAGAAGCAAATGCCTTGCCGCACAAATTACATACGAATGGTCTCTCTCCAGTGTGCGAACGCTTGTGCACAATTAGAGCAGGTTGACCTTTTGTGCGAAATCCACATATTTCACATACAAAATTTTTTTCAAGCCTATGGACATAACGTGTGTGCATCGATAACTGCTTTGGATTAAAAAAAGATTTGCCACAGCCATCTATACTACAATGAAATCCTCGTACACCAGTGTGCTTGTATTGATGAATATTTAATGCTTCTTTACTAGAATATACCTTCTCGCATTCTCCACATGGAAATCCGGAATGTTTTTTTCGCAGGTGTGCGTTTAGTAATCGCTCATCCTTAAAATTCTGTTTACAACGCACGCATGTATATTGAAATTCTTCACTATGACATTTTTTTATATGGCGTTCTAAGTTTTTTGCGAATTTATAACTTTTAGAGCATTCCTTGCATATGAATTCCGCTGTTGTTAAACACTTTTTTGGCTCAGGTTTGAGTATCTACTGAAATTAACAATTTAATGTATGTACATATATGCTTTAAAGCAGATAGTTTCACACTACATACCCTTGGTATATATTCAGAACCCTGATTGCTCAGTTCTTCATCACTTTTAACTGTTTCTTCATCATTTAGCCATACATTATGTTCACATAAGTTATCAGAGGTTATTTTGTCATTAACAACAAAAGGGGAGGATAAATTGGTTGAATTAGAAAAAGGCACTTCCTGTAATTCTGTAAATGTAATAAACTCGTTATCCGAAGTTTCTTCGAAGCCTTTGCCGTCTTCGATTTTTATTTCAACTGTTTCAATATTTGTATTACTTTGTAATGAATTGTTTGTTGCAAGATGCACATTTTTGAAATGCAGTAAATACTCGTCGAAACTGAAAGTTTTTAATTCGCAATGTGTGCATATTATTGTAAAACAATTCTCTTTGCGAAAAAATATTTCAGCACACTTTTTATCAACCAACTGTACGAACGTTTGAGATCTGTTCAAGGCTTTAAGCATATTGATTAAATTTTCTCGAAAAAATTTGATTTCGGCAAAATACCAGTGCGAGTATGTATTTTTTAATTCCACAAGTGCAATAAAAAGTATTAATCAGCTGATCGTCAACAAATAAGCATTCCAAATATCATTGTGAATGTAATTCGTAAATAAGAGGTTAAAAGAATGAAAAGAAGTAGATAAAGAATTGAATTTGTTTACAATAGCATTCCACAAAATTTTAAATAAATATCGACATGTTTAAATTATTACCAAGCAAAACATTTGACAAAAGTGTAAATGCAAAATGTGGTGAAATTTTTTGTCACAGTTCAACGGAATTTACCATTATTTGTACACTGTGCGAACTCAAAGCATTCGACTACCAGGATTTCTTGCTTCACTGCAAGAATGAACACCTCGAAAAGGACTTATTGAAAACAGAAGCAATATTTGTTGAAGTAGCACCATACCTGGCGTCAAATGTGAAGGATGAACAAATTTTTGAGGATACTACTGCTGAAGCTGAATTTCTAGATGAGCGTGACTTTATCATTTCGGATGAGAAAAAGGAAAAGTCAGAGTTACGTATAAGTCAATGGAGTGAGAATAAGTCGTTATCTGATGATTCAGACAGTGATACTGAAAATAATTTTGAATCTAATGTTGATGACAACGATTATGTACCACCTGTGCATCAACGAAAGGTATTCTTAGAGAAACTTTAAGTGTACCAATTATTTATTTATAAACACGAGTTTTTCACATTCCAGCGAAACAAAAAGCGTGAAAATCAAACAGAGTCATACAAATGTGAAGTATGTTCCCGTATCTACAAAAGCTCCAATTATCTGCGTTCACATTTGGCAAAAATTCATAATTTTAAAAGTAAGAAAATAGCGACTATTCAACTTCAAAAATGTGATGAATGCACAGAAAAATTTAAAACATTACGAAGTTTAGAGAAGCATTGCCTTTCGGAACATGGTGGTATAAAATGTATGCATTGTGATAAACGATGTACATCGCGAACAAATCAGTTACGACATATGGAAACTCATACACATGGAACGGACCGACGGTTCGTCTGCGATTATGAGAACTGTAAGAAAAGTTTCTTTACACGCCGTCAGTACCAAGCTCACAAACGCACTCATACAAAAGGAAAGAATTTCATATGTGACATATGTGGCTACTCGTGTCGAATACCGGAAATGCTTAAAGTGCATTATCGTTCACATACAGGTGAGAAACCGTATGCTTGTGATGAATGCGGCAAATGTTTTGTATCTAAATCGGCAGTTAGGGAGCATAAAGCATCACATGGCACAGAGCGACCACATGAATGTAAAGTATGTGGACGCTCATTTGCAAGAGCAAAATCGCTATACCATCATAATTTTTTGCATCTCGCAGAAAAGAAGTTTAAATGCAAATTATGTGGACAAGCATATGCGCAACTTGCGGGTTTAGCTGGTCATATGAGGCGACACCGAGAGCAGGGCCATTGCTGATACATTTTTGACACAGCTGCATGTTTAAAAGATCCTAAGTTGTTATTTGATCATTCAAACGGTTACTAATTTTTATTTATTGTATATAAATAGGGTATTATTACTATTAAGAATGTTTTGTTAATTGACAGCTATAATATGACAGATTTAAGCAATTCGTTGTAAATAATTATAATATATATATAAAAATTATTTTTATTTTCTAAAAATAATGTAAGTATTTATGACGAATTATTTAGGTATCTAAGCGCAAAAACAACAAAATGCTTCAAAGCTCACATCATATGGTAAGAATTTCTGTGCGCACTGTTTTCTTACCAATTTTTTGTATAGTACTGTACACATTCTTTTTCGGAAGTTAGATTTGCAATTCAGTTAAAACGGTTTGACAGATGTAGCGGAAATGTTTTTCGAAGAGGTATTTGCATAACAATAAATATTGTAAAAAACTTAATGGTATTACTGAATATATATATTTTCTTTCAGATAGAGATTAGTAATATACTCAACTGTGCGCATGTGAAATTACATTTCAAACAAACGCAAAGTACAGTTTACGTTGTAAAAGGCAGTAACGACTGCCCACTCCGCTTTACAGTGAGTACTGCTATTAAATTAATTTGTAGTGGTCAATATGCAAATATTGAATCGTTAACTCAATTCAAAAACCTGCATGAGGGTTTTGTTCGTATAGTGTTGCTCATTTCAAAAGGAGCTTGTGAAACAACAACTTCTTTGGAAAACGACAACACTAACTTTGAAAGTGATAGTGACAGCGATGCGCCATGTACATCTCAATGGGCACTAAATCGCGAACAGCGACGTAAACAGCGTCAGCTACGTAACTCGCATTTATTGCAAAGGCAGCAGCAACTATTCCATAAGGTGGAGGCCATCCGCGATTTCCGATATAGTCCGGAATCGATCGAATACACTATTGATGCAGGTGCAAAGAAAAAAAGTAGTGTTTACGAATTCCAGGTGAAATTTCGCACGAACATCGATTACATCTTGCGTCAGCCTGAAATATCCCGTGGCGGATTTACGGGAAATTGGATGGAGTTTATAACAACGAAATTGAATGGTGCTATGAATCGAGAGTAAGTATATGATTTCTTACAGGTGGTGATGCAGCTATTATAAAGTTTTGCTTATTTTTTTCATAAGGGAAGAAATTTCAAAGTTATTTGGTTATTTTGTGCAACTATTTTTAAAAAATCGTTACAATGAGTGTGATTTATTGCCCAAATTAACTACCTGCTGCATTATTGGACACACTGCCTTAGATGTTATAATTGCGGATGACGCCCTAAGGATTTTCAATGACGTACGCATTACTTTTGAGTTTATTACATGTATGGAATATACAGTATGGTTTCTAATCCCATACAAAGGACGTTATGTATCAGTGCAAGAAGTGGTAATATTTATTTTATTATTCATTATATATAATAGCACTGGTTCATATTCTATGTTAGAGTGTTGAAAACTTTCAATTTAAAAACGTATATACGTGCATAAAACTAAAAACGATGAATCAAGGTCTGTGCAGAGAATATATATGGTCAGACGCAGATCACGCAATCCAAGATCTCTTATTTATCGCATTCCAGTTGGTCATGTGTTTTCACCTCAAGCGAGGTGTTGTCTACTTACAAGAAGAATTGAAGAATGTAAGTGCTAACATCTTATTTTTTATTGTTGCTTAAATGTCTTTAATAATTCATGTTTTAGGTTAAAGACTATCAGACAATGCAATTCGTAGTAACGGCTTATTTACAGGAGACTAGAAGTGATCAAAAGGTATTGTTGCATTTATAGATAAATGTTTTATGTATTCAATTATTTATTTTTATAAATAGATTTGGCCACAAAAATATTATTTACAACAAATTTTAAAAGCTTGTAATAAAATGCGAATAACTGCTATTATTGACTATCCAGGCGGCTTGCCAGTTACGCCCCTATCTGGAAATTTAATCAAATGCTACAAAGATGAATGCAGCGATAGGTGGAAATTAAAAGTGGAAGAACGCGAGAGTTCCTGCAGTAGTGAGCAATTCATCAGTGAATTGCAAGCAGGCTTACGAAGTTACTCATTTTCATAGGATGTGAACCAAAATATTTATAAAAAAAATTGCGGTAAGTAAATATACTTCAGCAAACTTATACTATGTATGTAGATATGGAACACCCACAATTTATTTATATAAGCAAAATAGTTAAATCATTAGAACAACCTATACATGAATTTAAAAAGTTTTGTTGCATCAGAGAACGTATGTAATATAATTTACGTTCTCTGCATATACTTGTATATATGTGTCAAGTGTGTTTTCGGAAAATACACACAATACAAATTTGGCAGCACTGCTAGTTGTTTGTCAGGTGTGCAAATAAATAAACAATTGCTTATCAATATAGTATAGCAGTAAATGTTTTAGTTTTTGTGTTTGAAAAATGATGCGAAATTGCACATTACCAACAAGTTATGAACAAAATAGAACCAGTATACGTTGTGGCGAAATAATTTGTTATGATAACGTGAATTTCACTATAATTTGTGTACTTTGCAAAATGAAACTGTTCGAGTTTGACGATTTTATGTTACATTACCAAAATGTACACCTTCGAGGCAATATACTCGACAGTGATAGTGATAACGACGCGGACGGTGAATTGGAAGAATGTATTAAAGATGAGGAGTTTGAAAATGTTGAATACCTAGCTGAATTGGATGAATGTGGTGTAAGAGTGGAAACTGCCGTGCAACCCGCACGTGTTTTGGAACAAGTCGTTTCCAACGAAAAACAAAATTTACCCATCAAAGCAGAAATGATAGAAACGGCTGATAATGACACGATCAGCGAATATGGTGAAGTTTTGGTTATTGATAATGTTAAACCGAACGAGATGGAAAATGAAGAATTTGATGGTGATGAATGGGCAGATAGTCAAGAAGGAGATGATGATAACCACATTTTAAAAAAGGTAATTGGATCCAGTGCTGTAGTAGACGATTTCTTTCAAGTAATACATTTTTTAGCCTAGGAAGCCCAAAGAGTACTCATGTGCACATTGCCAAAAACGTTATACCACAGAACGTATATTGAAGCTGCATATAAACATGAAACACCTGCGACCAAAAAACTTCAAATGCGACCAATGCCAAGAAGAATTTGTAGAGCAACGTTCACTAGATTCACATGTGCGGAAAGAACACATAGGTTTTCAGTGTTCACAATGCGAACGTGCTTATAAAAACTCTCGTTCACTGCGCATACATATGAAAGCACACAAAGGTATAAAGGAATTTATATGTGATTTTGAAAATTGTGGCAAAGCATTTATTACTTCATCACGTTTGAAAGTGCACCGAAAAATTCATACGGATGAACGAAACTACATATGCGAAATTTGTGGTTATCGTACACGACAAAAGGATGCTTTGGTTGTACACAAGCGCACACACACCGGAGAAAAACCTTTTGAGTGTTCTATCTGTAATCGACGTTTTATCTCTGCCTCATTGTTAAACGAGCACAAGCCTATGCATTCTACTGAGCGTCCACATAAATGTGATGTATGCGGTGCATCATTTTCACGGAGCAAAGCGCTCTACCATCACAAACATTTGCACCTGGGCATTAAAAAGTTTGTTTGCAAATTATGTGGCCGTGCCTATGCGCAGATGGCAGGACTAGCGGGGCATATGCGACAACACAAAGCAGAGAAACAAAGTTTACTTAGTTAATTTTTAAGCAATGTTTATTGAAAATTCGCTACATGTGACATTAGATTTATTCCATTAAATATATTAAGCAACATTAAGTCATTAACATTTAAGAAAATAATACTCGTAACAACGTTGTTTACAATCAAAACGCAACAAATAAATATAAAATTTCAAACATACATTACAAAAATCCTCGATAACATTTCATATACATACATATTTACTTATGCCCATACGCGTATGGTGTAATCCCAACTGCCAGTGGATAATGCAGTGCCGTCTGGTGACACCTGCACACAGGATACCTTATTTTCATGACCATATAAAAGACAAATACGTTCCGATTTAAGCGTATCCCAAAGATTCACTGTGTAATCATTATAGCCGGCAAATAGTAAACGGCCGCTTACTGAGAAGTCCACTGAGTTAATACCAAAAATTATGCTCTCCTTAGCGAACACAGCTACTTCCCTATCGGCACGCATATCGAACAAACGACAGCTACTATCGTCTGAGCCTGTTGCTATGGCGTCTCCACTAGGATGAAATTTGACAGTATTAACGTCTGACTGATGTCCTTCAAACGATTGCACAACATGTCCTGAACGCATGTCCCATATAAAGGCCATACGATCACAACTGCCAGAAACGAATGTATTTCCGGTTTCATTTGGCGCTAAATCGATCGCCATAACATCACCAGAATGCCCATGAAAACTCTGAAGTAATTGTCCGCTTTCTACATCCCACAAAGCACATGTAGAATCACCACTTCCCGTGAGGATTTGCTGGTCGGAATTTGGATAAATACAGCAGGACATGTAGCTAGTGTGAGTACCAACTGTTCTCTTCTTTGCAGCCATCTCATCATCTGATGTTATAGGATATACGGTAACTTTATTGTCTAAACCACCACAAGCAACAAAATTGCCTGACGGAGAATATGCACATGCCATAATCCAAGTGGTTGGCATGGTAATGAAGTGTTCTTTGTTTGTAGTAAATGCATCCCAGATGATGAGACGCCCGTCCTGAGATGAGGAAATTATGTGACGCTTATCTGGACTCCAATCTGTACAAAGAACCTTTGCTTGATGACCTTTGAGTACTTTACGTGGTTTTATATTAACAAAAGCAATTGGCTCGAGCCGCTCTGCAACAGTCCATAAATTAATATCATTCAATTTAGCACGTTCTTCCTCAAGTTTAATTTTCAAATTTTCCGCCTCCTTCAACAAGCTGGCCATCTTATCACTGGCATTAGGTGTTGGAGCACAATCTGCCATTATTCATCAAAATATAGCTAAATGTAAATAGTCCAGCAATAGAAATAATTTTTATAGGAACCGCTAGGAATTTTGCTGCAGATCCTATGTATACAACTTTGAATACACAAAAATCAATATTTGTTTACAAAAACAATATTCTAATCAGAATACACTGAAATGGCCGCACTCGATTTATACCGTAATAAATAATGTGCAGTATGTTTAATTCCCATGATAATGGAGCACATTCAAATAATTATTACATATATGTAAAAATTTTAGACACAAGAGATTAAGATACATTTAAACTCTGGAAAATTTTTCAAAACAGTTTAGCTAATAAAAAAAAAAATAATAATTACGAAACTTGGCACCACGCAGAAAGTTACGGTATGAGACTAGGAAACACTCATAATATTTCTGACATTTGCTAATAAAACAAGTAATTTTTTTGTTGTCGTGGATTTTAATATTTCTCAAAATAGTGCCATTTATTGGTCTTAAAGAAACTAATTTTCATCAATAATCAACACGAAAATGTTAAAACTTTTGCCGACGGATACGAGCAAATTTCATAATTTTAAATGTGGAGAAATATTTTGTCTGAGCTCCAATAGCTACAATGTGGCGTGCTGTTTATGCGGAGCGAACGTATCGTTTGAACAATTTCCACAACATTTTCAAGAAGAACACTTAACGCCTAAACCCGAAAAAGTGGAAAAACCCACCTTAGATACAAGTACAAGTGATAGCATTAAAATTGATGTAGATCCCATCAAAAGCGAAGAAGAATATCTTAGTGACCACGGTGAAGGTTCAGTCGGTTATGATGCTCCAGATTCGGAACCCGAAGAAGTAGTTGATGAAAAGCCTTTCCACTTTGTGGACTTACAAAATCTTGGAGTAAACATAGTTGAACCGGAAAACAAACCTAAAAAGAAAAAAGTTGAAGATGTTGACGACATCAGTGACACTAAGTCGTCGGAGGATAAGAGTGATGTCGAAGATGAAGATTGGCGACCTCAAGATTCGTCGGGTGACGAGGTAAGCTTAAAACTTGTAAATAACAAGGAATTGATGATTTTTTTTGTAAATATTCTTTTTAACTGAATCGTAGAAGCCAAAACCGCAAGATGACATTGATTCACTTCCATATCCATGTCCAGACTGTATGCGTTCGTATAAAACCAAACGCAGCATGCTAACGCATCATCGACAAACACATAATCCAAAAACAAAAAAACCGAAAGAGCCAAAGTTGAATTTCAAATGCGATGAATGTGGCGAATGTTTTAAAGCTGAAAGAAATCTACGTGCTCACAAGTGGAAGCATACTGGCATAATATGTGATATTTGTGGAAAAAAATTCTCTCAAACTGGTAACCTGCAACGACATAAAATACGTCACACCGGCATAAAGGCGCACAAATGTCAGGAGTGTGGTAATGACTTCTTCACTGATAAAGAGCTGAAGGCACATATGTTGCGACATACCGGCGAGAGGCCGGTTGTTTGTGAGATATGCGGAAAACGGTGTCGTGACCATGGCGTATACAAAGCGCATATGCGGCGACACACAGGTGAACGACCAGCAAAATGCGACGTTTGCGGTAAAGCCTTTTACAGTTTCCACGATTTAAATGTGCACGCGGTGACACACAGTACCGAACGACCATTTGCATGTGACATGTGTGGCTCAACGTTCCAGCGAAAAAAATCGTTACGCGTTCACAAAAAATTACATTCTAAAGATCGGAAGCATGAATGCAAAGTTTGCGGTAAAACATTCGCACAATCCGGTGGTTTGAATGCGCATATGCGAACCCACGATGCTGCTTTAAGCAGGAGCATTGTAGGCAATACCTCCGCCAGTATTAGCGCAATACCTGGCCCTATAGTTGCAGATGGTGTCGGTGTGAATGTTGGCGTTGGTGGCACTAATGTCAATATGGGCCTTGCAAGCGGTGTTGGTATGGCACTTGGTACGGTAGTCGATCCAGTTAACTCAATAGGGGAGGCATTGTTGGGTGTGACTGGTGTGCTGAGTGGGACCGGCTCAACAATAGATACTATCAACAATTAGATTTATGGAAAATTTACTACAATATCACTGGTACACACATATATATTTGTGTATG